CCTGTTTTTCGAGTTGTTCGGTGCTCGTCGGTCCACTGCTTCCAAACTCGCATCACTGTGGAACTGTTCCGCTGCATACGAGCTGCTATTGCGCGATAGGAAAATCCTCCTTCTCGAAGGCCGATTATCCTCCCTCGTTCAAACTCCGTAAGTTGCTTGAATTTCTTATTCTTCCGTCGTGGAGGCATACTCAGGTCTCACTAAACGTTTGCCACTAACAAATAATCATAGACTATTTTCAACGTCCCGCTACAGCACTTTATTTATACGCTTTCAGCATCAATTCAGAGGGCGCTGCGCGCGCCACGCACGCGCGATGGCTCTGAAACTTTATTAATTTGCATAATATCCTATATCCATTATTAAAATAATATTTCATTTGATTCTGATGATTCCTTCATGGTGTTGCATTTTCTACAAACAGCAGTTTATGTTTATATAATGGATCTAATAATAATGCGTCTAATAATAATGCGTCTCATAATTTCGCCAGAGACTGTAGTTTACTTATTAAAGCTATTTTGTGTTTTCTGATATTTGGAAAAATTGCGTACGTCACGCAGTTCTCTCAATGTTTGACAAAAAAAGGAAAGAATTGCGTCTTTTTCGAGGGACGTTTCAGAAAAAGAAAAAAGTTTCATGGATGGGACTTTATATTAACGAAGAAAACTGCATACTACATAATAATAATAATAACAACATACATATCTATGTTTAAATCTAAGTCAAAAACATTTTTTTAGAGTTAGAAATGCTCTCTTGATATAAAGAAACTTTTTCAGATAAAGAGTTTTTCACCGATAGACCCATTTTTGTGCCTAAATGTTGCAAGGTTCATGAGAAAAACGTATTATTCATTGCGTATATTTTTGAGTTCATATTATTTTATGACATTTTTTTTTTAAATTTTCAAGCTGTAGATCTCTGTTCATGAAATCTCTCTTTTTTAATCCATTAGCAACTGGTTTGTTACGTATGTATGATTTCTGGGAGGCAGGCTTTTGGGCAAAATCATGTTATCAGATCAGATTTTAAGGATTTTAACCACGCGAAACTCTGTTAAGCTTTTAATATGTGTGAGTATAAACTATAGCAGTGTCGCTACTAGGCCGAGATAGCCTGGTCGGTGGGGTGCCGGGCCCCTTGTCCAAGAGTTCGTGGGTTCGGTCCCCGCCGGTCGAAGACTCCCCGTGTAGTAAATGGTGACTGATGCACGTTAAATCTGTCGAGTCGCAAAGTCCTCCATGTTCCCGTAACAAATCAATACCTCTGGGGGTACTGATCCAGGAGTTTCCCTGTCTTCTGGATAGGCTCAAAATTACAGGGCTACGGTGTTGAGCATTAGTAGTCGTAAACCCAAAAAATTGGGTCGGCTGTTCAACGGCGGTCATAGAAAAAAAAAGAAAAAAAGAAGAACTATAACAGTGATTGCTAACGTACTTATTTCTGTGAAAAACTATAAAAAAAAAACTTTATCGAAATATTCAACGAGTGGACATTAAATGTCTAGTCAAAATGTGTGTTATCACGTATCTCGTTTCCTACTTGTCACAAAACTGTCCTTACCCTCTAAGCAAGTGACATCATTTGTGGACGACCCCTATACTAAAAATGAAAGTTATTATAGTTAAGTGAAGAAAAACCAAAGAAGTGAACATACATCGAAGAGAGAGATCTACTTTTTGTTTTTATAAAGAATGAGGCTGCCCTTTAAAATAGCGTTTAGAATGGAGGAAGGATACAAAAGGATTTATCAGCAGAAGATATGTTTATTTAAAGTCACCCAACTCTCAGATAAGAGTTTGTTTTGGCATTAACAATAATACTATTCCTTCCTGAAGCCAAAGGAAACAATAAACACTTTTTTCTTTTTTAGAATACTGCCGCGCAAAAGAAAAATTAATGCAAGCAACCAAAAAATTCAATATTTCGCATTCCTATAGGATGAACTACAGTCTCT